TTCAGCAGGCTAAGTGAAATGAGTTTGCTAATGTAATTTCTAGGGGTAGAGGTCTTTGCTGACTACCAGAAGTCTGAATGGCTCAAGTTACAGCATTATCTTTTCACTCCTACACACCATTCGTCTGAGTCAGATTTAAGGTAGTTTGGCATTAGGAGGAACCTTCTGTTGGAGCTGATTGTATCAGAGACAGCCCCTCACGAGTCCTGAATGACAAAACCATGTCACTGCTGTCTCCGCAGACTGCAAAACACAGCTAAAAGTCCTATGGCTTACCTGGATAACTAACAGACAGCTGTTTCTTTCCCTTTCTTAATCAGGAGTCCATTCCCTTTCACCAGGAGCACGGAGCAAAGTGGAAAATGCAACAAAAAAATAAACTTTCCATAGGGAAGAGTCCTAAATGCTAAATGTGGGAGCATCAGAAGACCTTAGAAGCAAAGAAACTAAGAAAGTAGGATGACTGTCGAAAGGCATCACTCTTTTTTGCACCAGGAGAAGCGTGGGTTGAGAGTCAGCAGGGCATTTTTCCAGGTTAGTGGCAATTAATTTGCACACATTGATATGGGTTTCATGCCCATGTTACGACATAGTTAATTAAATTGGTATCTGGCTGATTAGGTGATACATGCTATCTTTTCCTCAAGCAAAAAGGCCCCACACCTGCAATGGTGGAGTGCATGTGTATTTGGATACAATCCATTTATAATGTGTCCAAGTCTTGTACAATAATTTTAAGCAGCAAGTTTGTCACAATTTTCCTTAGCCTTGCACAGTTGGCTCCAGAGCGAAGTTTATTTCTGACATTGCTGCTTTCTTCCATATTTCATTTCCGATACTCAACTATCTGCCTACCTTTGACAGGAAAAATGAATAATTTATCACAGGATGCTATTCAAGTAAAAGCAAAATAGTTTACACAACTTGAGTCAAGAGTGCTGCAGTCTAAACACTTACACGTACAGCCCTACGGCTGGCCTTACACAACCTCCATTTTACTCCGCAGGAGCAAACGCAGTGGAACAGCGTCTATTTTTGCTGAAGGTTTAAGCTGTGGAATCAGCGACGGCAGGTTCTCGGCAAGGCAGAGCACTGATCCAGCGCCCCTTCGAAAGGCCTCAGCTGCAGAACGCACCGAGCCTCCCTGCAAATGAATCTTGCAAAAGGCCACTCACATCCCGATGACCGGTGTTTTGAATATCCAGCTTAGCCGTACCCAGCGAGGGATCCACAGTAGGATTAAAACTCACTTGCAAGACACAACATCTGGCATTGCTGAGGTCGCCAGTCAGCTCCACGTGAGCTCTCACCTCCAGGACACGCATTTGCGCATCGCTGACTTGCTTTAGGCACCTGTAGAAATCTGTATTGCATGAACTTGCAGGTTTGTAACAACAAGGATAGTACATTTTCTAATTTGTAACAGAAGGTAGCTCGGCAAAAACTCCATCCTGACCGTTCCTTCATCTCCCAACACCAATAACTTCATAAACTTCAACTGTGCACCATGAATGTTAAAGTAGGAGCTGAGACAGGGTGACAGAATATAGGGGCTAAACCAGAAAAACCCTCTTCTTAAATGACCCGTCTCCACGCAGACAGACACCGGGGCAATAAACAAGTTATGCATTTCATGAAAACTGCAGAGTTCTGAGCAATCATTTACTGGTTATTCTGATCACTAATCTGCAACTGGAACTATAAAAATCAACTTTGTAATGATTTGCTTCGTGTTTCAAATTATGTTTGGCATATTTCAGTACATATTTCTATTCAATTATCAGACTATCTAAATGCTATTTCCATTTTCTTTCCAGATCTTGCTCACAATTCTCCTCCAGCATGGACTTGCTGGACAAATTTAGTTGTTGACTGATAAGCAATAGTAGGTACACCCTATTATTACCATTAAGTTTTATTTACTTACAACAGACCAGTTTGTGGAATTTTTTAATATCCTATAGGGTTGTGAATTACATAAAAGGAATCATTTTGCATCCAACAAAAATACCAAAATAATCCAACATACTGTGTGAAAAAGAGGAATTTACACCTGTACCTTACATGGAGATCAAACAGGTTTTATTTACTATGAAAGAAACCAGAAGGAGATTAGAAGACAGAACAATGGCAAATATTTACCATTTGAAAACACTGAAATGAAACACGGGAAGCAATTTTTTCTTCCACTTTTTGTTGCCGACAAGGTAGTCTTGAAACACAGATAGCCATTTTAATGCAGGACCAGGTAAAACTAATACCATTCATAAAGAAAAAATGGGTTAGAAGGCAAATTTAATACATTTTCCTTTCACATCAGTGATCTAAAAAAAAATAAGACAACCAAAGTACATTAACAGACTCATCCTCCATTTCTTTTTTTTCCCCACAGATCTGAGAACAAGGAAAAGTAACACTAAATGAATGTCTTCATTCACACGGGAAAGCTGATGCAGGTAATTTCCAGTGAGGTATGTCCAGATGCGGGGGGCTTATTTTAGTCTTCTACTTATTTAACAGTTTTTTCACAGCTGTGCGAGATACCTCAGCAGAAATACTTCTGTATTTTATTTGGTTGATCTCTGGCATTTAGTTGGATGATGGACAGATTTTTTTCCTAAGTATACTCAGGAAAATTTGATACATGCGAACAGGACTAATCTTTTATTATTTTGAAGTCAAACCTGGACAAACGGAAGCTTCATAGACTGAAAACAGTCGCTCTATACAGAAGTCAGCATGCCGTTAGTCTTGTTCGACAAAGGTCTGTACCATTACACACAATAATATTTCTATTTTAGAGTTCATAGAAAGCTGTCTTTTCCAGGGTATTGAACCTTTTAATGTGCTTAAAATTGCTTGGAAAATAATATTTCTTGAAAGCTGCTAAAAATTTTACAAATTTGGTTAAAAGGATAACATAACTTTTTCCTTACATCTACTCCCGGATGCTCACAGTAGTGGGGAGACGTTCAAGGAAATGTAAAACATTTCTTTCCACTCAAGCCCACCAGAAGTGAGGAACCAGGCTAAGGCTGGAGCAGGCAGATGAATGCATCCATTTAGAAGAGCCCCTCAGCAAGGAGACTGTCCACAGATGTTTGGGATTCAAAAGCTGCTACCACAACGCAGAATGGAAGGAAGAAGAGATAACAGCGATATCACTTGCCCTGAATCCTCCTCCAGCTGCAGAAGATGTAACGGCCCAGGGAGGTATCGCCTGTACTCCTACCGTCTGAGCGCTGGCAAAGCTGACCTTTGACAGTCTTATTTTTTCATTTTATCTTTAAACTGCTACATGATTATATATATTTTTTGATGGGGAGGTATAAAACCACGTCTTCTTGGGCTCTCAGGTTTTTTGCACCCCAGAGGAATTCAGTCTAAAAAACTAAAATTACACTGCTCCGGTAGCCTTCCCATCTACAGTGGGTAGCTCAGCGATACAACTCACCCAGCAATGCGTTTGGGAGAAAAACGGAGGATAGAACATTCTTGTTTATTCAGGTGAAATATTTATTCTCTGTACAACTCATATGGAGTATTAAAATCCCCTCAAAAGAGAAAAATAAAACAATTTAATGGTAGGATTTCTTAGCATTCATGGAGAACTGGTACGTGATGGTCACAGCAGTTGGCTCAGGCCACCGGACTGCCCATCAGCCTTTCTTGCCGAAGAGCGATCAGCCTCTGAAACCACTTCTCTTCTGCTTCTGCCTTCTCGATAAACAGCTGAGAGACGAGGGGGAGAGGAAGAAAAGTAGGCACAACTCATTAACTTTCTCTTTTTTTGTTACAACCTGTTGAAATAGGTATCGACTATTTCAGCGCCCAAAGAAAAAGCCCATAGGCTGCACTGGGGTGCACAGGGGTGTCAAAATACGAAGATGATATAAACGCATTAGTAAAGGTAGAGACTTTAATAATCGGAAAGCCAAGACATTCCAACTTCAGTCTCCTCCTGGAACAGCAAGTTGGTCATATTGTACAGGTCTCGATCTTTGTTAGTGATGTTCACTATACAAAACTTGCATTAGTTTTTTCACTGCAAGTCATTTTTAACTTGCTAAATCTTAAAAAAACTCAACTGTAAGTACTCCTATTTCCAATTACAAGTGCTCACAAAGGAATTTGCATAAGTTTAGCCACAACAATTTAAACTTATCTGAAGTTTGTCATGTATTTAAAGCTTTACAATCTAGCAAGGTGGGCATGTTCTGAGTCTTCCACCAGGTTTCCCACTACACAAACCAAAAGCAATTTTTCCTGAATTTTTATTGAACAGGAAGTTTTATATGAACAGGATCTTAAATTCCCCTGCATTAAATCAGTACGCTACTTTGTTATAAAATTTGTTTGTAACTCTAAAACTACGTCACTGGTGAACAACTCCTTTTGTGATTATTCTCTGTTGGATGGTGCAAGGAGTGTGATCCTTGCACTGTGATCCAACGAGTGGCCCATTAGTTAATGGTCTTCAGACCACAGATTATTCAACGAGCAGCACAGCAAAATGGTTGTTAGGTCACGTGAACCTGCTCGCATTCAGTGGGCTGCCTTGTTCTCAAGATAAAGTAAATATCAACACACTTACATTTGGATGTGCTAAAGAATTATCATCTTGATATTTGATGGCAGTAGGGATATTGGCAGGCGGTGGTTCTTTTTCAGGAGCAGATGCATCAACGGTTCCTGCTCCGATAGTTACAGGCTCATACTGTAGTTCAGTAGGCTCTATCGACTGAAAAGAAACACATCTGAGCGTTTTATCCTCAAACTCCCAAACGTGGCAGCATCTTAACTGAGCGTTCAGCTGCAACACGTGCCCACGAAAGGATCCTCATGCAAATAATTCTCAGCGTGCTGAACACACTGGACATGGATGAACATCCAGACTAAACACGTGAAGTGGAAAAAAAGGTATTGCCAAAGGCAACGAGAGAGCTTGCAGAACCATAGTGTTGGGTTTTTGGATCGCTTTCTGAAGAAGCCGCATGAACTTCTCAGAGACTTCTGAAAAGGCAAAAAAATGCACGTCCTGGGGAAAACAAACAGCGATAATTCAAAACACCTCACCGTTAGATGGAAAAACTGAACCAGCCTTTGCTTGCCTACTTCTAAAGACAAAAGCACCCGAGTTCCCTAGAAGGCTTGGCAGCCAAAATGCAGGTAAAATTCTGAAACCTGGATGTCTCACATTAGGTTTTTGGAAAGCTGTCTGAAAACAATGCTGTTTTGTTTCAGGGAGTAAACATGGTCTTAAAGTCTGGCTTCAGTTAAGCAGAGTTAAAAATACTCATCTCTACTTTTAATTACAATGTAAATGTCTTATTACTTTTGGATTTTAATTCTTCTGCTTTTCCTAAAAAAAAAAAATCTTCATGGTTTTGCATGACTTTACAAGAATCTTTAAAAATTGGAGTTGCTCAGCATAGGCAGAATATACTGTCAAAACAGTTGATTTCATTGCAATTCTTCCACATTTAAATGTATTCTTCCTTGAACTCCACACCAAGAACCTAGGAGAGTCATTGGTGGGATTTAGGATTGTCAACATTGATGCTCTTTCGTTGATGGAAACTATTAATAGCACAGCTTCCACCTGACTTTGAAAGGATTATGCACCAAGAAAGGATATTGAAAACTTACCTTTTTGACTTCTTTACTTGATCTGAATGTCTGTGGAACAAAGGAGTCACTTTCAATAGCTTCAATTTCTTTCACTCGTTTCACTTGCTCCACTAGGGTGGCTTGGTCTACAAAGAGAAGGTGTAATGTCAGTATACATTAGTGTAAGCCTATGATAAATGCTGTGTCTAAGCAATGCCTTGAATATATTTTACAACAGTACATACCAGAAAAAAGCCCTGTAATGCAGCTCAAAATACTCCGTTACAAAGAAAAACTCTCTCCTTTAGTAAAAATAACAACAGCGAGTTGGCCATTATTGTTCAATGTATGGTATCATTCGAGACGCTAACTTAAGAATTTGCTAGAGATGTGCTCGCAGGATAACTGCTAGATCTGTGGCATGAGGATTTCCTGAAGAAGTTAAAGATTTGGGGACAGTGCAGACAACTCGGTGGAGTTCCATCTGCGTGTAGCGGTAAAACTACTTCTGCTTGTATGGAGGTGAATTTGGCTTCAGCTGCGGCTGTCCAGAGAGATGTGCCATCATCTGTGCGCTCCTCTTGACAAGCTGTGCGATTCGTTTGGCATTAAGAGTTACATCCTTAGGGGAATTTGACAAAAGAAATCTTAGAATCTGGTAATAAAACATTCCTAACGTACACACTAAATGTTGTGTGCTCATACGGTTTGCAGGTGACAAAATTGCAGCTGTTTAATCAAACGAGCAAGATTGCTTCTTTATTGGACTGTGAGGTGTTACAGTACACATATATTTCACAAGGTATTTTTGAGTCCCAGGCTGAGATTTTATTTGGAGGCAGCGAGTGCAGCTCCCAGGGACGTCATGGTGGAGAAGAGCCGCTCCTGCCAACCTCGGTGCGCGCTACACTACACACGCAACTGGGGTGCTGTCGGGTAGGCTTTGCCGGTTCTTTCGCCGCTCAAGGAGACAATCTTCTGGATGGATTAGACTGGTAGGAAACTAAGCGCATTCATAAGGCAAGATATACTTCTTTTTGAAAATCTAACTACTGACGGATGACAGGGAGGTTTCATATCACAGCTACGTTGATCTCCGTTGCCAAAGGGATGGTCTGACTCCTCTCGCCCCCGTGCCTTCCGTGCGAACCGGCGTTACTCCTCTCGCCAAAAGTGCAGGGATTAAATCAGCTCACTTGCAAGGTGAAAGCTCATATTTGTGCCACCGCCCAGCAAAACAGGACATTTTAACTCGGACTTAACATGCGGCAGCAGCGTCGTGCACAGGCTGATCTGGTACAAACTCCCCTCTAATTCAAATTTGTTTTTAAAAGGTAGGCGTGATGTCAGAGCGGGCGTATCGGCAGCAGCCAGCGTTCAGAGGCCGGCTACCTGCTGACACGATCAGAATAAACTCTTCTCTGGACGGCTTGGAAGAAAGAGCCGCTGCGGCTGCCCCTGCCTCCGCAGCTCAGCTCCGCGTGGCCGCGTGATCTGGTACTGAGGAGGCGAGCTCTCGAGTCACAGAATCGTGGTCTCGAGCGACAAAGTAAAAAGGACATTGCCAAAAGATGGGTAAAAAGCCACCTAGGATAACCGTGAAGTTTGATCGAAAACTTCATGACTACACAAGAATACTTTAAACACTACATAAACCACAAATTTAAATAAAAGAGCAACTGTAATTATATATTTGTAGCATATACATATGTAGGTATAACAGGTTAAATTCCTTGTTCTAAAGAAACCAAAGTATATTTAAAGACAGGAAAAGTGCTTGCAGACCAAAAGAGCTTGCAGAATTATTCAGAAATTCAGAGGTACCGAACTCTTTCTCTGTATACAAAATTCTAAATCCAAATTCACGTAGATATACGCATACACTGCAAAATACTTTCTGTTTTGCACAAGCAAAAAAAAACAAACGTAACTTAACACCCTTCTGCAATGACTAACCACTGAAAACTCATTTCAGTCTATTAATGACAGGCAAGTAGTGCTTCAGATGAGCAAATAAACTAATAGCAGCTCGGATCTATTTCTGGAATGGAGATGCCTACACTAAATTAACAACCTCATTTTTCATCAACAGGTTGTACCGCAAAACTGTTTTATTTTCAGTCCTGGGTAGTACGGCTTGTTCATTACGGTACATCTGACAGCAAAGTATTTGCTTTACTGTCTGCTTCATTTTCTGCTGCTTCAGATTCACAGCTCAGTTAATCTTCCTTACCTACTTCTGCGTCTAACTGCAGTGACAAGCAAATCTTGAATTCATTCTGCTAACTGCATGCTTTCGTTTACAATTTTAACCAATTTATCTCCATCTTATCGACTTAGGAAAAGCATTTGCTTTATACGCAGTACGCTGGGGCTGGCCTGAGGCGGCCCAGGCGCTCTATGGGGGAGCAGCGGACGGTTTTTGCTGCGAGCAGCATTTATAAAACAGGTAAGGCAGACCCAAGATAGGAAGAGATGCAACTTTCAAGCAGCAAACAAGAACCTGCCCTGCTGCTTAAAAATGATTTGGGAATATCGTTTAGTCTCTGCGGATACGACGAACAGAAAAATGGGGAGCAGGCTAGCTACTCCTGCGCGTGTTGGATGTCTGAGTCTGGGATTGCTGA